TTTTTTTTTTCATGAAAAATTTTTATAAATATATTTTTTTTCATGAAAAATTTTTTTCTTATCATGAATAAATAAATTATTCAACAAATAATTTTTTTTCACACACTTTCTTTTTTTATTTAAAAAATTTTGCTATATCATCAAGGGCAAGGCCGCAAAAAAAAAATTTTACATTTAATTCATTTATAATGACTACGCAATTCGCCTACGTAGATAATTATGTGCGGGATGATATAAGTAATGTCACATGAAAACACATGAAAGAAAAAGGGGTTTTTTCGCTTCAAAAAGTGCATAAGGAAACTTGAAAAAATCCAAAGAAATTTAAGGTCATGTTTTTCAATGCATAAAACAGAGAAAAAAATTTTCGAATTTGATATTGGCTCGTATCGCCGTATATAAATTTTCCAAATTTTTAATTATTTTATCTGAAGGCCTGAAGCCCTCGAAAAATCTGAAGAAATTCAAGGTGCTTAGTTTTGTTGATATGTACTATTATGAATTTTTTCAGATTTTTTAATTACTTCAGGGCTTCAGAATGAATATAAATAAAGAATGGACGTTTATAGGGGTGGAGGGGGTAGGAGGGGGGGATGGGGAGTAAAATTTTGGCTTTAGGATTTTTTTACCATGTACTATAACATATCAAAAGCGCATCTAGATCGGTGTCATTCGAAAATTTGAAGAAGTTTTATTTTGACCCACATATAAATCGGGTTTCCCAAATGGACTATGGAGGAAAATAAAGCCCAAAGTTATTTTTGGGATTCTTTGTTGATAATATTCAAGAAAAATTCATTCCGGATACTGTGCCGCTAAATTTTTCATCAAAAATTTTTTTAGGCGTTATTTTAAAAGTTAGTCAGAATCACTCTTATATGACTTGAAAAAATTAAAAGGTAGAAACATTACTTCGTATTTTTTGGACGCCAAACAACCTAACGCCCGTATTTGGAAGTGGATAAAATCTTGAATAGTACTTTACGATACATGTGGCATAGGTAGCACTTCTGCGCACGGCCGTGCGAAGGAGTGCTACCTATGCCACAAGTATCGTACACTATTTTATAGCTCGTGTGACATAAATTCGCCATAAGGAGGTTATTTTACAATGAAATTTATATTAAAATGCAATTTGATATGTTTTTAAATGAAAAATTTGAACTTTATTTTAGTGAGCAATGGTAATAAAAAATGATGATTCTTTATTTTTTAAATCAATATTAATATCAAAGTTAAAAAAAGTATACATGCTTAAAATATATCAGCGAGATCTTGAATTTTTTCTTCTGCGACTGGACTTGTTACTTCATAACCAAGGTGACGTTTTAGTGTTGAAAAGTTTCCTCCACCATTCATAAACAGAGTTGCAGCAGTTCGTCGAAAAGATATTTTTGTATACGAGCCAGGATTTGGCAAATTTAAGAATTCCGCAACTTGGTTTGGAATGCTGGCGATTTTGTGCATTGTGAGCGGTCGACCAAGACATTTTCCTCTGAACATTTGTAAAAAGAAACTATCACTTTTTTCACACTTATTCCGAAGATCCATATATTTTTTACAAATTTGATAGGAATCACCGTCAATCTTGAATTTTCGTTGAATGTTGTGTCTCGTTAGCGGTGTGCGTACCAACAGCATCGTATTTTGATCTTGGACATCTTGAACGGTTAAATTAAATAACTCCTCACTCTTACATGCACCTTTGGTACCAAAAATTAATACTACTTTGGTCACTAGATTTGCGTCGTCATCGGCTTCGTTGCAATATCTAGCTAATTCAGCAGAAGTAAATGTAGTCATTTTCAAAATGTCTTAGTTTCTCTCTAAACGAAAAATACGTTGTGTGCGGTGCAAGGCTCACGACAGACTGATTCGACTTACGCTCGCAAACTGCTTTGTTAACGTTCTACACGCAGCCACACGTATTTTTAACAGTCACGGTGCCATATAAAATCTAAGTCTCTTGCAGCCGCGCAACCAAAACAATGTAGCGTGCGTTTGACGTGTTCGAACGGGTAGCGTAATTTGAGACACATAGAGTGGCTATTACAGTATGTAAACAAACACATTCTACAGTGTTGTACCGCATGATACAAACGCAGATGTGCTGACAGCCGCGTGATGAAAAAAAGTAGCCAATGATCATTTGTTATAGTTTTATGAATATGACAATTTTCTACTATAGTTAGGTATTGCAAGAGAGGCAGGCGCAGGGGGGCAGGTCCAGGGCGGCAGCCCTGGTCGGGGTGCAGGGGGCGAAGCCCCCCCGCTGTAAAAAAATACTGTCATATGACAATATATCACGTACTAAGTATCCACGATATGGGCTCATGACATCCGACGGCGGTGTAAAGCATAAACGCGCAGTTGAGTAGACAGAACAAATATACGTAAAAAAATTCTAAATTTCTTCGCGTTTACAGATCAGTATACTTGACTGCGTTGTTCTGCTTCGCGTCACTACTAGCGCCACGATATTTTTTGTCATATACAAAGAGCGCATAGCCCGCGTAAGTCAACGCTGTCAGTATAGTTACGCTAACGATCTTCATTCGTTATATCGTAGGGCATTCGCCATTGTCGTTGTACTAGCGATTTTATTTTGCTTAATTT